GCGAGACCGGGTCCCATCACCAAAATCATACCCCTCACCTCAATAAATCACCATTGGTAATCACCATCATCATCATCACCACCACCACCATCATCATAATCACCATCACCACCACCACGATCCACACCGTCGGATTCACCATCAACACCAACATCCATACCATCATCACATTCGACAGCATGATCATTAGTAGCACCATCTGAATCACCAACTGTCAAGTCTTCATCCTCATCATCCGATCGTCATAATCATCATCGTTACCATCCTCATGGTCAACCTCATCATCACCAGCACCATAATCAACATCATCATCACCACCACCATCATCATCATCATCATCATCATCATCATCATCATCATCATCATCATCATCATCATCATCATTATCATCATCAAAGACACCAGAATCATCAACCAAACCACCATCATCGTCATCAGCATCATCACCACCATCATCAGCAGCAAAATCATCATCAGCAACATCAGCATCAGCATCAGCATCATCAACCTCATCATTATCATCATCAGCAGCATCATCGTCATCCCCATCATCAACCTCATCATCAACCTCATCGTCATCATCAGAATTGTTGTTACTGCCATCATTATCAGCATCAACAACGTCAACACCAACATCATCACCATCATCATCGTCGGCTCACCATAAGCACGATCAGACTTTCTCATCGCCATTGCATTGTCGACAGCAACGCTCTATCACCAGGTCGTTATTCATCACGTGTATCGCCAGCAGCATCGTCACCATCGCCATCACCATCGCCGCTGCCACTTATCATCATGGTGCAAGCGTCACCACTATTGTCATGGTCCACATCCCCGTCCAAATCATCCTCACCCCCACCTGGGCATCCCCGCAACAGCGAGGGGGCCTCCTCGGCAGCAGGCGACATCGCGGCAGCCATGGCGGCCCGGTGCCAGGCGGTCTGCAGATAGACAACAGCAGGCGGTCAACCTGGAGCGAGGCAGGCCTCAGCAGGGAGCTCTGAGGGGCCTCGCGCACCCTTGAAGGCATTCGAGCACAGCTTGCCGCCTGCCGCTGACGATCCAAACCAGCAAAGAACGCACGGTATGAGCGTGTGCGGATCGAAAATTGAAGAGACTGAAAAAGCTTCGGCGCTCCTCGAACACACCCAGCTCAGCCCCGCACCTTCCGTCATCATTACCCTCACGCTGTCCTTCCACGGCAACCACGGCCAAACATCGTAATGTACTTGTTCTGACTTCTTATCCTCGTTCTCCTCCGGTATCTTCTCCTAGTCCCCCTCGTCCTCATCCTTCTGCTGACGGTATAGCCTCACCTTCTGCCAATGGGATAACTTTGACCCCGAATCCAAGTGGAAGGAGAAGAGCAGGAGGAGGAGGAGGGAGGTGAGAAGGATAAACGGGGTTGGAGTGGGGGCTCCGTGCAATTGTCGTGAATGCTGCAAGGGAGTCTGACAAGGGGGGTTCTAGGAGGGGTGTAGAGGAAGAACAGGAGAAATGAGGATGGGGAGGGGGAGGAGAGAGAGAAGGCTGGGAGGGAGGGAGGGAAGAGGAGAGAGAAGCTAGGAGAGCATGGAAGATGAAGGGGAGGGAGGGAGCAGAAGGAGAGAGGAGGCAGGAGGAGCTGGAGGAGAAAGGAGGAGCAGGAGGGAGGAAGAGGGACAAGGAGGCGAAGGCGGCGATATCTTCGCGCCCCCACGGGTGACCTAGCTGACGCTCCTCTTCCTGATTATGTTACTCCTCCTCCTCCTCCTCATCCTCCTCCTTCTCATCATCATCATCATCATCATCATCATCATCATCATCATCATCATCAACATCATCATCATCATCATCATCATCATCATCATCATCAGAATCAGCATCGTCGTCATCATCATCCAAATCAGCATCATCATAATCTTGTTTCTCGTTCTCCATCTCCTCCTGCTGGGAAACTCCGACCAGTGCCCAACAAGCATAAAACGGATAGCCAGCGCGACATGTCAACTGGACTCACGCGACCCTGATCGTGAAGCTTCTCCTCCTGCAGTTTCTTCTCCTGCGTCTTCTCCTCCTGCACTTCCTCCGTTTGTACTTCCTCCTTATTCTCCTCCTCCCTTCTCCTCATCCTCCTCCTCGTCCTCCTCCTCCTGCCGTCCCTTCTCCTCGTCATCCTGCCACCCAGGCGACACTGTTGACCTAGCACGTGACTCAAGCTACTTGCACTATATCCACCTTCTTCCTCCTTACTCTTCTGGGTGCCAGCCCATCCTCATGATATCGTCTTGCACGGCAGGCGTAGCATAGTTCATTCGACGCACCGTCTCCGTGACATCGGAGTGGGGACAGGCTTTCGTCGCTGCGGGAGCGTTTATTCCAAACCAATTTGGAAAGCAACCGCCCCATCCGATTCCAACCCTGATGTGCTCGATCGTGCTTCACATGTGACCCCTAAATTTCTGGGTCCTGATGTAGATGTGACATCACATCACCACTGAAACAAAGAGAAGCTACC